GTGGCGCGGACACGTTGGCCCGAGTCTGTCTGACCTCCGAGTCTGTCTGACCTGACGATACAGGGGCACAATGGTGGCCTCACCCAGGCGATGGAACATATTTGTCGACGCCCATCGCAGGGTTCCTGCTAGCTTGGAATGGTCGCCGGGGCTCAGCGAATTGCTGTTCAAAGCGCTGTGAATTCGAGAGCGCCACTTGACAACCTTGTCCGCGGAAGGTGCACATGAGGAACCTTGCCGGTCCGCGCTCACACTGAGCCCAAGCACGTGCGGCTGCAATCCCCAGCCCATTTTGGCTGGCGCGTTGGCCTCGCGCCCGAGCAAGCAACGCACCAGAAGTGCAACGCAGTGCAGCGCGTGCACCACCGATCCTCTCCGCTCAGCAGCGAAGAGGTCGTCCACAAACCTCAGCAGGGGCACGTGCAGCACTGCGCGAGCGACGCGCGAGATTAACGCTCCCATTCGCTCCCACGCGCGAACGGAAGCGATTGCTCCGAAAGGCGCGGCACCATGCCGCGCTGCGTGCGCCATTCCCTGAAACAGGAAAACAATATAGAGCAGCGCGCAGTGCACAGGCGACGCCGGGATGCGCCTGGAGGCGGAATCCACGTCGGCCTTGAAGAAAGCGATGGGCTCTTCGGTCTCCAGCGCCAAGCGCCTGGGGGCTTCGAAGAGCAGGTCCACGCCCTCGGTGCGGAACTTCTCGGCTACAGACGTGCAGCCGTTGAGCTTCGACCGCGACAAATCATCGATCGGTCGGACTTTGTCGCTGCCGTCCTGCTTCACCTGTTCGACCCCGAATCGCGGTGAGAGAATTACGGAACTTAATTCGAGGCCGCCGACTTTGGACAGATCGCGCATGCGCCTTGCCGCGACGTCCTGCGCGGCGACGCGAAGCAATTCGCTGGGGTGCTTGTCCTCGCGCACTGCCGCGTTGGCCTTCGCCGCGGATTCCAAGAGATCGACGACCGGCGCGGCACTGTCACGCGCTGCCGGCGCGCCTGATCCAGAGGGAGGCAGCGGCCCCGTTACGGGCGCGCCCCGGCGGAAAAATTGGGTGCATGCCAGGTCCTAGAACCCCGCTCTGCGCGCGGGCCTGTCCAGCAGCGGTCCGTTCACGCCCTTCGCGACGACGCTCACTTCTGCGCTGGCCGAGAGCATCCAACGCGCAGCCGCGCCGCTGGATACCAAATCGTCGGCCTCAAACTCGATCTGGCACACGATGGCCTCGCGGGCTGCGTTGACCTGCTCGGCCGTCCGCGCGGTGACCCAGCTCAAAGCCTCAGACACCTCGCTAGGCAAACCGCATTGTTTCTGGAATGCAAAAGACTCGCCGACCGCCCTTGCGCCGAAACCCAGTATCTCACTATCCGCTGCGGATTGATTCGGCGCCTGCACGCGACGCTCACGCGCTGCGTCGCGACCCGCTGCGCGGAGCGCCCCAACCTGGCAGAAGCGATTTGCCAGATGGCCTGCGCGGCTGCGTTTTGCCCCGCCCGCGCCCGCGCGGGGCGGCGATGCCGACCGCGGGGCCCCTTCCTTTTTTCGGATCACCGGCGGCTGCGGAGGCGTTGGCAGCGGCAGCATCGCGCGAAAATTGCGAAAGTAAAGCCAATCGATGCGAGTCTCGCGCGTGCCCTGGCACCCCCGCCCGCGGGCGCGCGGGCCCCCGCTTCTCCGCGCTTCTGCAAAATGCGCCGGGCGGCTGCAATGCGCACGCGGAGAATTTTCAATGAACAAAACAGAACAAAACAAACCAAAACAAAACAAAAACAAAAACACCCAAACCCCCCCCCCCCAAAAAAAAAAAAAAAAAAAACTGTTTTTATATATAACAATGTTTTATAAACAATAACGCGGCAGAGACCATTGCGGCAGTGCACGCGGGCGCCGCGCCACTCGCTGGCAGCTCAGCCTCAGGTTTACTCAGCGCGGCGGGCCTTCTTGACGGGCCTGGGCGGCGCGCGCGGCTCGCGGTCACCCGAGGCCCTGGCGGGGCCTGGGCGGCGCGCGCGGCCCGCGGCCGCCAGAGGTCCACGAGGCGCGGCCACTCGACCACGCGCTGCGATCGCGCCAGTCACCGCGCGACCACGAGCCGCGGCGGTCGCACTGCGCGATGCCGCCCTTGCCGCTGCCGCTGGAGCTTCTTGCCCCGCCTCTGCGGCCACCACCTGCACGTCCGCGTCGGGCCCCTCAGCGCGGCCGCGCGCATCCCTCGGCCTGCGCGACGCGAGGACAGCGCGGAGTGCCCGCGCGCCGCGCACCCGGCCGTGCCCTACCTGGCGCAAGACCCACGAGCTGAATTTCACAGCCGCGTCCCTTCCTCCTCCTCCTCCTCCTCCTCCTCCTCCTCCTCCTCCTCCTCCTCCTCTCCTCCTCCTCCTCCTCTTCTCCTCCTCCTCCCCCCCCCTCCCCCCTCCTCCTGCTCTCCTCCTCCTTCCTCCTCCTCCTCCCCTCCTCCTCCCCCCCCCCCCCCCCCTCCTCCTCTCCTCCTCCTCCT